AAAATGAAAGTCAAGTGTAGTATACATTTCTTGAAGTCCTGTAGCTGTTGCTTGAAATAAGTGATTTCTTGTCTAGAAGGTAGAATGGTATAGGTGGATCTGGAGGCACAGGATTTCAGTATGAAATTTGACTCTGCCTCTTTAAATGCCTGTGCAACTTTTGGAGAAGCCTTTTTAATCTCTCTGAGCCTCAGTTTCTTCGTCTGTAAAATGAAGTTAGATTGGGTGGCACCTGGTCACTTTCAGCTCTAAAGTTTTGCTCTTATGATTCTGGTGGGCGGTGCTTGATAACATTACCACTCACTTTTCCAGTATGTGCAACAGATTCATTCAAAAACCTAATGTTTTTAATTATGAGGTGGTTATGTTCTGTGTTGTTAATTGTGAGTAAAGAGACTTGGTTTTTTTGAGGGCATGGGATCATTCAGTTCCTAAATCTGACCACCTGAAGAAAGAAGTAATTGGAGCCGTTCAATTAATAGGATTGGGTTGGATTTGGATGCAGAGACCTTAATCTCCAGATGATCCTGAAGATATACGGAAGGGCAATTCTCTAACCTGATCAATGAACTAATATTTACTTTGCCAGTTATAGAAGAGATACAATGAATTAATAATAGGTGACATTTTAGTAGTACTTTAATATTCAAAAAGATAATAAATTTTATGAAAAATTCCTTCCAAGAAAAGGGGGTATAAGGGGTGTTAGGAGAGGCTTTTGAGACAAGGTTTGAGCTGAGTAGGAGTGAGATAGGTTGAGAAAAGGGGTATGAGGAACAAGTAGGGAAGAGGGGTTATAGTAAATGACTGGAGATGGGAGGCTTAAGGCTCAATTTTTTGTTTGTGCAAATGTCATGCCCTCAAACCAGTTTGATCTAATTCCAGTTTCTGAGAGTCCCAAGGGCTCAATTGTAGTTCTTGGGCTAAATGTAAACATCTTGAGTGTTCATTTGAAGTGTTGGACTGGTGGAGAATGTTGCCATGCTGTAGAGAGAGGAATGTGGGTGGTGATTTATTAACCGTAAATCTCTCTTAAGAGACATTGAGTAGTTGCTTCCTATCCTTCCTCCCAGGTTTTCGTGTGGGTCTGCTGCAGGGAGTTGTGAGTGAGTGCTTTAAAACAGCCGACTGAGAAGCTGTCCCAAAGTTGTGGTAATGGTTGTACATGATCTTAATCAGATCATGTTTCTTTTTTTTCCCCTAAGTAATTAATATTTTCCATTTTATTGCAGACCATGTTTCAAGACATTGAGGTATTTTTTTTTAAAGAGGAAGCTTTGAATAATTTGTTTCAATTCTAATTTTTTGTTAAAAGCAGCTGCAAGCTCTTCTTGCCACAGAACTAACCCTGTGAATCGTCCTCAAAATTGAATTTGGACAATAAAAATGTGAAGAAAGAAAGTTGTGGTGGAATAAAGTAGATCATTCTCCCTAGGTCTTTAGTCTGCATTTTAGCTGACAGCGCAGACATTGGGATGAGTAAAATGCGTGTCTGCTGTCAGAATGGAAACTGGTTTGGCTTCTGCAACATGAATGATTTAACAGTTGGAATAAGATTCATATTTGAATTTTAAACAGCTATGGTAGTTCTGAGAGTTAAACTGAGAGAAATGGCAATCATTTACAAAAGTGTGCCAATTCTTTGTCGGTATTCAAATTCTAGAAACTGAGATGCTTTTATGTAGCACTTAATTTTCCTATCATTACTTTTGGAATGAAGACTTACTGGGTTATTTCAGGGTGTTTCTCAGAGGCTCTTTAGAAAAAAATTGGATTGATAAGAGCTATGGATTTGGAGTCAGAGTACCTGTGTTAAAATCCTGGTTCTTCCAGGTGACTTATCGGACCTTTGGCAAGTCATTTGAACTTCTTTGGGGCTCAGTTTCCTCATTTGTAAAGCAAAAACACTGAGTAGATGGCTTCTAAAGGCCTTTATTTGTTCTGCATAAGCTGTTTCCCTAAGGAATATGAGAGTGAGATTAGGAATGGGGGGGGGGTTTAGTACTTAGTAAATATTTAATTGAGTGCTCAGGTAGGTATCCCTGTGGAGGTAAACAGTGATTTTTTTTTTTACCCACATTAATAAAATCTTATCTATAGTGCTTTGAACTTGTGGGAAGAAAGGGGTTCTATGTAAATACTGTAGCAGTGGAAATATGGATTTTTATTCATCTGAATTCTTTTTTTTGGCTAGGCAGTGGGGTTAAATGATTTGCCCAGGGCCACACAGCTAGTAAGTGTTATGTGGCTGAGGCCAGATCTGAGCTGAGGTCCTCTTGAATCCAGGGCCTGTGCTGTATCCACTGCGCCACCTAGCTGCCCCAATTTTTTTAAAGGCAATTGGGGTTAAGTGACTTGCCCAGGGTCACACAGCTAGTAAGTGTCAAATGTTTGGTCTGAGGCCGGATTTGAACTCACTTCCTCCTGACTTCAGAGCTGGTGCTCTATCCACTACGCTACCTAGCTGCCCATCTGAGTTCTTGAATTTTCTGTCAGTGGTGGTAAAATTAGGCCCATGCCTTTGTTAGATGCTTGTTGGGATTTCCTTTCATCCTGGACCTAAACAGTGACATAGGTGAGGAAGGAAGAAGAGGTACCATTGCTGCATGTGAATCAGGTTGCTGTATTGAGTGCTGTGAGGCAACTGGGCCAAGCCTCGTGAAGTTCTGGGCCAGCTCCTACAGAACGTGGTCTTTGGAAAGACCATTTTGCTCTGCCCTCCCTGTATTTTATTTTGTTCTAAAGGTTGTTGGTACCCATGGAACCAAACACAAGCCATGTACTGTCCTGTTGTTTTTTTTAAATACATTTTTATTGATTTTTAGGTTTATTTATGTCTCTACTTCTACCATCTCCCCTCACCCACTCCCAGAGAGCCATCCCTCATAATAAGTAACAGAAAAGGAAGAAATGGGAGGAAAAGTTTGGTAAACCTACCCAGCAAATCTATAAAATCTGACACTAATATGGAGTATTATACACTTTTGGTCCCCCCACTTCTGAAGCGAGGAAGATGTCTTCTCATTTCTCCTCTTTTTTTTTTAAACCATTGATCACCTTTTTATTTTTTAAAATTAATTTATTTTGATTTATCAACAATCACTTCCATAAGCTTTTGAGTTTTAAATTTTTCTCCCCCTCCCTCCACAAGACGGTGTGCAATTTAATATAGGCTATACATATACATTCCTATTAAACATATTTTTACATTAGTGATGTTGTAAGTAAGAATTAGAACCAATAGGAGGAATTACCAGAAAGAGGAAACAAAACGCAACAGAAGAAAAAAAATAGCAAATAGTATGCTTTGTGGCCAAGGTTGATTATTATAGTTTTGCAGCATTGAGATTCAATTGTTTTGTTGCTGTTATTCTTTCCATTTACATTGTAGTCATTGAACATATTGTTTTCTTGATGTGGCTTCATTTTGTGTCCATTTTTTCCGTGTTTCTATGTATTAGTCATGTTAATTGTTTCTGACACACAGTAATAGTTCATTACATTAATGTGCTATAGTTAATTTAGCCATTTTAGTTATTGGGCAGCTACTTTATTTCAAATTTTTAGCTACCACAGAAAGTTAAATAAATATTTTGATGTATATGAAATCTTTGTTTTTGTCATTTTGTTTGCTTTTTTTTTTTGGTTAATATTTTCTCTGTCCTTCTGAGTACTTTCAATATATTTAGCCTGTGGTGTGCAAGGCACATGCCTAGTCAAGATATGCCAACAATTTAGTTGGTCTTTTCAGGTTATGCCCATATTTGAGAGTTCATCTTAAGTCTCCAGTGTTTACTGGAGCTTTCTTTTAGTTGATGACTTTGGAAACAAAATTAGCTTCTTGGTACCTAATTTTCCTTGGACCCTGTGATACAGTGGTGTTGCTTTGATATTTCTTCTTCAGAGGACATCATAAGAAGGAGCCAGTGATTACAGAATATAAATGGATTCCTTTATTTTGTTAGTTTATTTTTAAAATTCTTGCTTTTTTTCTTTTCTGAAAAAAAGAATATAAACAAATGGATATTTACAATAGTTTGTATATGATTAGTTCTTCAGACTTTTAAAAGCACTTTGACATGAATTACCTTTTTTTGTTCTAAAGAACTGGCTTGTGACTTGTAAGTAGAGTATTATCTTCCAAGGTCATGTCTAACAGGTGGCAGAGTCAGGACTCAGACTGAGATGTGCTTGATTTCAGACTCTTGCTGGCATATTCCTACAGAATGTGGGATGGCATTGGGAAGGAGGAAGGGTGACTCATCTCTGTTCCCTTTTTCTTGACTAGGTTCAGAGATTGAGTGGACTGACTTTTTCAAGTTTCTGAGAGGTATAAGTGAAAGATGGACTTATAAGTTTACTTTGTGCTTTTTGTTTTCTTTCCCTTAAATACTTAGTAAAGCTTTTTAACTGTGTCTCCTTGTGATAGTCTAGCTGCCTATTTAGAGTTCTTTGGTTAATATTAGACTGGCAATTGTGGGAACTACATGGTGAAAAATGCCTTTTGGAGGAATTAACTTTAGGGTTCAGTTGAGGAAAACTATCTACACACCCTTCTGCTACTTAGACTTCTAAGCTCTTGGATTTCGGGGAAAGGGTGACATGACAGGTTAACAAACAGGATAGTCACAACATTTGGATGCAATTATTTAGATAATCAGTGTTAGAACTGATAATTCTTCTCTTCAGGCAAAGTCCAGTTCTAAGAAAGGCATATAAACATTAATTGGGAAGTGGTCTCAAACTAGGTGTATACCTGATAGCTTTTTATCTGGAAGTGGGAATCTGGGTGGTAGCAGGAACTTGGGAAACATCTGTTCATCCATAACTTCTTTAGATAGTGAGCATTATACCAATTAATTGGATAATATGCATGTACTGGGAGTGCTGCCTTTCTTCCTTTTCTTCATCTCCAACCTGTGTCCCTAGTCCTTTTTCAGAGTGCAAATGAGCTATCAGTAAAAACTTTGTCTTACAAATAAATTTGTTTTCTTCTGCAGGATTTCATTCCAGAATCCCTATGGCTTTCTCTGTGGGGCATTGGGGGTCCCTTCTAAACCCTGTCAGCAGAGCACTAAGCCAGCGCTATTTCAGGTAATTCTTTCTTTCTGCCTGGCCCCTCCTTTGCAGGCATGGGAGATTTGTTGATGTGAAATATTGCATATATTATCAGATTTTTTTCAATATACTGATCAGTTTTGTTGAATTTTTTTCCTCTTCTCTTTTTTTTTTCTTTTTAAAAAAATAATTTTGGGGGAGATAGGAGAAGGATATAGGGGAAATTTATGCAATGTAAAATTAAAGATATCAGTAAAATGTCTTTTTAAAAACTAAGAAAAATATTTTATTAGTACCTTTTACATCACAATCATTTCCTACCTCCTCTGCAGATTGAACCCTTCCTGGTGATGTAGGAAAACAATTAAGCAAAAATATTTTCTGTGGAAATTTATCTGATTTTATACAATATTCTGTCTTAGTATTCTTCCACCTCTGCCATGAGGGAGGAATTTTGGACCTTCATCATTTTTTCCCCATTACTGTTTAAATTCCTTTTAGAGATCTTTTCATTCATGTTGTTATCATTGTGTATATTGTTCTCTTGATTCTGCTTATTTTATTCTGCATCATTTTATACAAATATTCCTCTTTCTCTGAATACTTGTACCTTTTTTTTACTGTGTGATAATATCCCATTGTATTTGTATACCATATTTTTCAGCCATTCCCTAATCAATGGGCAGACACATATACAAATAACCTTTGTTTCTGTCTTTGACTTCATTGAGGTATGTATGTAGTAGGATCACAATCTAATAGGTTTTCCCTCTCCCCCAACAACATAAGTTAAGCTAATTTTTCCCAAGATTTGATTAGCCCGGGGGACCAAGGCTCAAGGGACAATTTTGTTGCCTTTCAGGGAAAAATTAGCTTAACCAATATTTCCTGGGGAAAGAGGGATAGGAGGGAAACTCTAGTAGGAAGTGGTTCTGTGGCAGGGAAGATGACCCAGTAGAGAATTTGCAGGTCAGAGGGTATGGAGAGTTTAATCACTTCTGCAAAATTCCAAATTGAAATGTATAATGGTTGGGCCACTTCACCCCCAGTGATACTCTCTCTTCTCTTCGTAGAATCCCTCAAACATTGACTTCCGATCTTTTGTAATCTTTGGTTAACTGCTTTTTAAAAAATGGTGCTTTGTTATTTTTCCATCATTGTCATTTCTTAATAAATTTGCTTTTGCCATAGACCCCTACCTTATCATAGAGAAACAGTTAGGGTAAAGCTGATATATCGATTGTCTGACAGTTGTCTACAGCATTCTGCATCCATTGTCCTTTCCTGTTCCCTCAACTTGTAGTACCTTTCCTCCCAAACTACCTTGTATTTAACTACTTTGTACATATATGTATATATTAATTTTATATCTGTGCTGTATTTATTTTCATATGTCCTTTTCTCCTCCATCAGGCTCTAAACTCATTGTGAATAGGGATTGTTTTCATTCTTTGTATTTGTATTTCCAGCCCTAGAGCAGTGCCTGTCACATAGTAAGTGTTTAATAAGTATTTGTTGATTGATTTGATTATTACCTCTCTATTGAGAAGAGGGGAATAGTTTTATCAGCCCTCTGGAATCAGGATTGGTCCTTACATTAATCTGAATTCTAATGTCTTCTGTGTTGTTTTTCTTTACATCATTGTGGTCATTGTACATGTTGTTCTTTTGGTTTTATTTTCCTTGCTCTATATACACTTAGTTCATATGAGTCTTCCCAGGTTCCCCTGAATTGTTCATATTTGTCATCTTTTGATGACCATTTCTTAATAGTGCTGCACAGTAATATTCCATTACATTTAAAAACCACAATTTGTTCAGCCATTCCACAGTGAATGGGCACTTATTCATCTGTCAAATTGATCTTCCTTAAGTGCAGATTTGACCACGTCACCTTTGTATTCAATAAACTCCAGTAGCTTAGTAGCTTCCATTTTTCTCAAGGATCACATGTAAATCCTTTTTTGTTTTTGAAGCTCTTTATAACCTAGCCCCTTTCTACCTTTATAGGCACCGGAGGAGAAAGTGAGTCTTGGTGACTTTGTATAGCCCTCCCTTACTTAAATCCAATTCACTTGCATGTCATGGCAACACCTTCCTGATGTCATAGTCTTCTGTTTCTTGCATGTGACACGTCTCAATTTGGACATTTTCACTGTCCTCCATGCCTGGAACTATTTTTTTTTAGTCATCTCCACCTATAGGCTTCCCTAGCTTCCTTCAAGTTCCGTCTAAAGTACTGCCTTCTGTGAGAAGCCTTTCTCAGTTCTCTTTAATATTAGTGCCTTCCTTCTGAAATGATCACTTATTTATCCTGTATAAATCTTGTTTATTTATAGTTGTTTGCATGCTGTCTCTCCCATTAGATTGTAAACTCTCTGAGAGCAGGGCCTGCCTTGTGCTTTTCTTTGTACTCCCAGTGCTTAGCCCAATGCCTGGCACATAATAGGTGCTTAATAAATGCTTTTTCACTGACCAGCCTACTTTGTTATCACAAAAAAAAAATGCTGCTGTGAATATTTTGATGTAAATGGGAGTTTTTTCTCTGAGGTGATGGCGTGTTATATAAGTGAATTGGATTTAAGTAAGGGAGGGCTGTACAAAGTCACCAGCCTCACTTTCTCCTCCAGATTTATCTGAGTCCAGTGGTGAGATGTAGATCAGGATGACTGGAGATGGCAGAGGATACAGTGGAAGACCTTGGTCTTTGTAAACTAAGGTTTTTAACAGGTCTTAGTATGACGGAAGCAATGCCCATTCAGTGATTAAGGCTAGGTAAGAAATGAGGCAGAGAATGGCTTCTTTACTTAGTCCAAAAAAAAAAATTCAGTATGGCAGGGAAAGACCCTCAGAGTTTCTGGCCAAAACCAAAACAATTGGTATTTACATTCACTCCGAGCCAATCAAGGCCCAAATAAAGACCAAGTGGGGAGGGAGGGAGAGAGAGAGAGAGCGAGAGAGCGAGAGCGAGAGAGCTGTGTTGCCCAACGGGCCTGTACTACTCACAGATGTGATTGTCCTTCATGCTCGAAGAGGACCATGACATCAGGGAGGAGATGCCATGACGTACAAGTTTGTTGCATTTAAGCGAGGGAGAACTATGCAAAGTCACCAGCCTCACTCTCTCCTTTGGAACCATCTAGGTCCAGTGGCGAGGTATAGATCGTGATGACTGGAGATGGCTCTCTTCCTACCCTGACCACTCCTTGAGAAGGAGGCACTTACATTTCAGTTATACATGTGAGGTCATTTCCATACTAGACATGTTGCAAAAGAAAACACAAATAAAATAAAACAATAAAAAGTAAAAAAAAAAGTATGCTTCAGTCTACCTTCAGAGTTTATCAGTTCTTTCTCTCGAGGTGGATAGCATTTTTTATCATAGGTCCTTTGGAATTGTCTTGAATCATTGTCTTGATCAGAGGAGCTGGGAGTGGGGTGGGGCAGGGCTTGTAAAACTTGGACTCAGTCAAAAGGCTGCACCCTAGGACCTAGAAGGTTACAATGTGGCCTTGAGGCCACAGGTTCCCCACCCCTGAGCTAAGCCTTTCCCAGTTGATCATCCTTACAATATTGCTGTTACTGTGTACAATGTTTTCCTGGTTCTGCTCATTTCACCTTTTTTTTTTTTGCTCATTTCACTTTGCATGAGTTCATATAAATCTTCCCAGGTTTTCTGAAAGTATCTTGCTTGTCATGTCTTATGCCACAGTAGTATTCCATCACAATACCACAACTTCTTCAGCTGTTCTCCAATTGATGGGCATCCTCTCAATTTCCAATTCTTTGTTACCAGAAAGAGAGCTGCTATTAATATTTTTGTATGAATAGGTCCTTTTTTCCTTTTCTTTGATCTCTTTGAATACAGACCTAGTAGTGATAGTGCTCCATCAAAGGTATGCACTGTTTTATAGCCCTTTGGGAGTAGTTCTGAATTTTTTCCAGAATGGTTGGACTAGTTTACAACTTCACCAACAATGCATTAGTGCACCAATTTTTCCACATCTCTTCCAGCATTTGTCATTTTTTCTGTTATGTTAGTGAACTTGATAGGTGTGAGGTAGTATCTCAGAGTATTTGGGGTTTTTTTGCATTTCTCTAATTAGTACTGATTTAGAGCATTTTTTTTAATGACTATTGATAGCTTTGATTTCTTCTTCTGAAAACTCCATGTTCACATCCTTTGACCATTTATTGACTGGGGAATGGCTCTTATTTTTATAAGTTGGCTCAGTTCCTTATACGTTTGAGAAATGAGTCCTTTATCAGAGAAACTTATTGCAAATTTTTTTTGTTTCCTCTTTTTCTTCTAATTTTGGCTGCATTGGTTTTGTTTGTGCAAATGCTTTAATTTCATATGATCAAAATTATCTATTTTATTTCCTGTAATCTCCTGTGTCCCTTGTTTGGTCATAAACTGTTCCCTCATCCATAGATCTAACAGGTAGATTTCCCATGCTCCCCTAATTTACTTATGATATCACCCTTTATATCTAAATCATTTATCCATTTTGACCTTATCTTGGTATATAGTGTGAGACTATGGTCTGTGTATGCCTTGTTTCTGTCAAACTGCTTTCAAATTTTCCCAGCAATTTTTGTGAAATGGTAAATTCTTACCCCAAAAGTTTGGATCTTTGGGTTTATCAAACACTAGATTACTGTGGCCATTTACTACTCAATATTGTGTACCTAGTGTATTCCACTGATCTACCACTCTGTTTCTTAGCCAGTACCAGATTGTTTTGATTATTATTGCTTCGTAATAAGTTTGAAATCTGGAACTGCTAAGCTGCTTCCCTTTTCATTATTGATACTAGTAATTTGGTTTTCTTTTTTTTTTTTAAATCAAATTAACCAATGTTTTATCTATTTTATGGGTTTTTTTTTCCATAAGACCAGCTCTCAGTTTTATTTATTAGTTCAGTGGGTTTTTTTTACTTTCAGTTTTTATTAATCTCCTTTGATTTTTAGGATTTTCATTTTGTGTTTAATTGGAATCTTTATTTTGTTATTTTTCAGGTTTTTTTTCAGTT